TTCAGAGTAAAATATAACTATATTAACGTAATAAGTTTAGAATGAACTTTTTATCAATAAATAAATTTATTTAGAATGACCCTACATAGAATATTTTAAAATTTTTTGTGATTCATTTTACAGATTATTGTCATAAATTTTAGACTAACATTTTGCAAACAACGATTATTCTGTATGAGAAAAAAATATTAAATCAAATAGTTTTGGAACATTTTATAATCAACACAAGACAGCGCGATAACAAGTTAATCCAATAGTGTTATTGATGATTGTAAAAATTTAGGGTAATGGATATCATTATATTTGGAAGCTCGTGCTCTTAGAATACATTCGCTGAAAGAAGAATTCATCCGTCGAGCAATTGTAAAATGTCACGGAGCTGTGAATAATTTATTAAATGAAAGATGATTATGTTCTATGTGTATCCTTGGAAATAGTATCAGTTTAGTAAGAAATTTAAGAAATTTTCATAATAAACTAACAACGAATGCTCTGATCGAAATAGATACGGCAGAATAGCTATTCAGTAGCGTGTGACATGATTTTTAGTAGGGATATTTCTATGGAATTCTTCTATATACATGTAATTATATATGTATATACATATATAATCATTTGAAAGTTCAAAGTAAAAAAAGAAGTGACCGAATAAGGATTCGAACCTTAGGTATGTGAACTAAGGAGTCAACGCTCTTACCACTAAGCCATCCGGTGTTGTTAGATAATTGTGAAAGCTTTAGAACAATAGTTATGGATATTAATCGATCCTGTCATGTATAGAATATATCCGCTAGAAAAATAATAGATCCGCTGGGGGATCGATTTACCTTAGATAGTTAAATGCAAGTGAATGTACATAGATATATAAATCCTTAATAGATCCGTTGAGAGAAAAATAGATCCGCTTGGGATCGATTCATCCTAGAGAGTTAAATGCAAGTGAATGTACATAGAGATATAAATCCTTAATAGATCCGCTGACATTAAAATGATCCGCTAGGATATTATTTGTTCTGATAGGTGCTAGAACAGTCTCTGTTATAAAATAATATTGTTAGAATAAATCCGTTTGATAAAATCGATCCGAGGATAGTTTCCATTGTGATATATATAGATTTATATGATTTATAAGAGCATTGTTCCACGTTATACCACATAGAGAAAAGATCCCGGAATTTTTAAAAGATCTAATAAATCCCAAAAAAGTAAGTCCCGGTAGCCCCTCATAAAAAATATTCAAGATTTCTCTAAATTCAAGATTTTTCGTAAGAGATACGAATTAATACTTCGCATCGCATTTCGCATATGAATAAAACTCGAATACCATCTAGTTTATTTAAGCGATGTCATGGCAGTTGTGAAAAAATAAAAAATGTCTTTAGACGATAGCAGAGATCAATTGGTAGAGACTAATATTATTCTGTTTGAAATACATAATCGACGATCTGAGTGACATCTTTAGTATATGTACCTATAAAATACATTTAGTTTTAAAGTAACATTTTCAAACCAATAAAATAAAAAGCGCGTAAAAACGATTCTTCGCGTGTGTTTTTAAAAGAATGAACTCGTTAAATTCACTCACGAATTCTTTTCGGAATACTTTATTAAGTGTCATACATCTTTTTCTTCTAGACACAAAGAAGAGAAATACAAGAAAATATCTTTATTAAAAATGAATCTTCAATATTGTTTTTAATCAAGCAGAGAATCTCAAAATAAAACTGTGAGTTTTTAAATGTATTTTATTAATATTTATTAATGGCTTGAATCAGGTGAATGCATCCTCAAAGTGATTCAGCCGATGAGACAAGTGCGCTAAGACAATTTTCATGGGAACAATGGGACAACCTAGTAATTGCTGTTATCTATCGGTAAGTTCATTATTATCAGCAAGAACAATAATGCTTTTGTGATCTATAGCAGCTACTTCAAGTGTCTTGATGAAGTTTGAAAGAATTTTTAAAAATCTGTCGTAATTCTAAAAAAGCAAAGGAATATTTCATAGAATATCTGCCCGTAAAAGTATGTTCTATTCCTAGATCTGGTTCCAATGGTCTCAATCGTTATGTGCTTAAACGTTATGTTGAAGAAGTTTTATTTCAATCCGAACGATGGAAACAATTATCATTCTATTTTTCAAGTATTTCGCCAATCGTTCGCGCATATCCATTAACATCAAATGAAGTTGAACTCATGCGACGTATTCTTGAGCATCATCTCAATGATAAATTACGTTTACGTATTACACAAAAAAATGATCAATTAATTGAATACGAAGATCTACTTGAATTTATATCTCGTATAGAAGATATATATAATAAAAATTCCAGTTTTTACAATCATAATCGTTTGATCAATGGAACTTTATCATCAATTCCATCAATACCAATTATACATTCAGCATGCACTACAATACCAACGCCTGTTGTTGCTCCTGTGATTCAAACGCCTGCAATAGCCACCACGAGTCATGATCAGTCTTTACAATCTTTCATTGATTCGTCTACAATAAAAACTAAATCGAATACTTTCTTTTCATTTCAACTTTGCCCAATCTCATTCAATAATGCTAGAATATCTGGAAGTGGTTGGATACAAATGAATAATGTTTTTTTACCATTCATAATTAAAAATCATCAGCGTTTAGTGCCATATGAAATACTTGTATCGTGTAAAGTTCTTCAACCTAATCAATTACGAGCAACATTAATACAAGCTAGATCAGCCGATATAGCATTAATCAATTCAATGGTACGCGATTGTAGAATAAACAATCAACTAGTACCTGAAAATGCTTTATTAATTAATGTTTATCATATTCTCATTAATACCAAAGATCTTGTCTATGTTAAAATCTTGCCAATCAATAATCCAACATCGATGGTAAATCATGAATATAAAAGTATTTTATCTCTACACGGTGGTTCATTCTATATAAAAACTCATATGATTCCATTCGTTTGTTCGCGTCAACATTCCTATGTACCATTAAATGATATATTCAGTATCTATCCAAATCTACATCCAAAACTAAGACATCTTGCACGAGTACCACAGACGAACGAATTAGAATATTTACAACTGGTACAAATGTATTATAACAAAGAGCAAATCTTACCATCGGATACGTTACTTATTGAATTGAATGATTTATACCGAACAGAAATCGCTCTATCAAAAACGATATCCTTAATTGAATATCATACAAAAGAAAAAGTTAATTTTGATCGAAGATTAGCTCTAAAAGATAATCTATTACAAAATAAACGTAAAAATCCAGAATCACATGAAAATAGACAAACACAAAAAAAGTTGAAAACGTTCATTCGATTGAATCGATCTGCATCTACGCCTTCGCCATCATTAGCAGGCTATTTTCCTATACAATCGACGCCGTTATTTTGTAGTCAACAGTATTGGCTTTCACCGCACAATGAATATGCAATAGGAGCTCCTTTGTAACAGTATTTGATTTGTAATTAATTCTTTTTCCTTCTAAACAGTGTATTAGATTTGATTTTTGTTTTTGTATTTTGTTTTGTTTCTACTGATACAAAATTCAGTGCGTACAGTAGAGTTTATAGTTTTTCATTTCTTTAGAAAGGAAAAAAATTGTTTACAATCTATTTCCGTGTTTCAGTTTTTGATATCAGCATTTTTGATTTGTTAACGAGTAAAAGAAATAAATATATAGAAATTTTTTGTCATTTGAAAATTCTTTATTGGTTTGAACTAGCATAAACTATCCATCACGAATTCCCATCATGTCTGAAACTAAGTTTATTTGCAGAAGAAAAATTAGTGCTGCCATTCCTCAAATACTGCTGCATTCTATAATGAAAAGCTAATATTATATATGGGTGCTTGTGAACGTTAAGCAGCACTATTATTTAAACGTACTATTCGTCTTATGATCATCCATCTTATCTCAATGGTCAACGTTGTAGATACTTTTAGTGTACATTTCTTTTTCTCTTATTAACATCGGTGATTTTGACCGATTTATCTTTCAAAATTTTCACCCTTCTTTAAACGACACGAAAAATAATTTTCCGATAGAATAGTTCAAATATCAAAGTTCCTATCTGTAACTATAGTAAATCACTTGTAAATGAAAGCCGATCTTCTAAAACATTGCCGAATAAAAGCTGAAATCTGTGCCAACAGAAAACTGTCGAGTAGTTTCATAATATATTTATTTACAAAAGAATCCAAAACAAAATTAAACATAGGTACTCAAGGAAAAACTAAAAAAAATAAATACAGTCAAAACTGTCTTTCGTTCTATTTACGTGACCAGTATTTTGGCGTTGGCATGTCTGTTGATGTCGTCAATTGAGGCTTGCCATGCCCTGTACGTTCATCATAATCGAGTTTATTACGTGCAAATATCAATCTTATATCGGAATGCATATAGAGTTTACCAGTTTGTGATGTTACAAAACTAAAATTTAATAAAACACCATCATCATGTTTACTAAAGCAAAACAATGGTCATCAAATCGTCATACCGAATATGAGCTAAATATCTGAGATTTTCTTTAGAGGATGTTACTGTTGATTGTTCATGCATGTTATCATCGCTGGTATTTTCAGGCATAAGAACAACTCGTTGACGAATAAATGTACGATGATCCGGTGGCATATCACTTAAATCGTACAATATGAGGAACAAATGAACTGCTGTTCCATTTGGATTTAACAGCGCTAAGGTTATAGTTCCTTTGGTTGGTGTGTGATAACCACGTTTCGGCAAACATTGCAAATTGATAAATCCCTTTGAAAATATAATAAGACTGAGAATTATTTAGCTCTTAGAGAGAATATAACTGTTCTAAACGAGTTCTTCCAAAGGTTACCACACCCCAAAACAAAACTAAGTAGTTCGACTCGATTGAAAGAGACTATTTACGGCATTTCCATAATACAAAGAGTCGGCAAAGCGAACAATTACTATTTTGTACAACTCAATTTTTTTTTTGAATTTCCATAAATTAATTCTTTGCTATAGTTTTTATCACATTTTTATTCACATACGAGATAAGGTGATGCTGCTGGATGTTCAGATACATTAAACCAAAAAGTTGTCACAGGTAAAATGACTTGTTTAGGTATAAATAGTCCACTTGCGCCTAGTTTAACTGTAAAGCCATCGAGTACACCACAAGGAAGAATTTTTCCATTTAATAGCGATTCCTATAAATATAAAATTAAGTCTTTAAAATTGAGTTACAAGAAGCAATCTCACTGTGAAGTTGATACGCAAACAGTTAAATATTTCTATATGAGCTTTTTCACGGGATCCACTAGAGTTGGCTCGAGTTGCTGATGAAACGACTTCATGTTCATCGTCAACTTCGAATACACTACACGATAGAACACTGCAAAACAGACATAAATTTGTATTATCCGAATTCAAAGCAAAAATCATCTTCTACCTTCGCAATAAACGCGGATTAGTAGTTCGTTTAGCTAATGGCGAACGACAATAGCTTTCTGTTCTTGAAGAAGGTACAATTAAATTCTATGATGAAAAAACAAACATAGTTTAAGTATGAATTTTAATTTATTGATTTTCGCACTTGATGTGTCACCGGAGATTGAATATTATTAAAGTTGAGTCGATTTTGATATAGTACTCGAATTGCTTTTAGCTTGGATCGTTTAAAATCAATATCTTCAGGTTGAGAAATTTTCAATTCATTCTAAAATTCATAAGAAAAATTGTTTTCAATGAATCGTTGTTTTTGTCTTTCTAATCTTTACATTTTTTACGTTGTTTTCTTGATATTTCATTTGTATTTTAACTTTATCAGTTGGACTCATTATGAAATGATCTAATGAATTTTTTTGATTGACCATTATTTGTTCATTGATATCTAATTTCTCAATCGATGTTGGAATTAAATTATTTTCCGAAAATCCTCCATTCGTCGATGCTGCAGAACTTAATTCACATGTTTGAATACAGGTTTTGTCTGGTACATTTATCGAATAGCAACATAGAGATGCACTTTGAGAACTATTATCCGTATCATCATCGTTTAAGACAACTTTCGGTTGTTGAATCGCTATAGGTAAACTTCTGGGTCGTTTATTTTGTCGTTTTAAAGACAATAAGTTGGTTGGTATAGTTGTTGCTTGTGAATCATCATCAGTATCACTAGATAATTGATTATGAATAAGAAATTTCCGGCAACATGAAGGTGAATTAATAGTTGATAATAGATCCTGAGAAAAAAATGAACTTGTCGACGAACTCAATGATGAAGTCGACGAAGAGATTAAATCACGATCGAATGACGATTGTTTTTGCAGATGTAAATCAGTAAATTGTTCAACGAGATTAGTATTCGAAATTGAAATCGATTTTGGCGACAACGGACGAAAATTATCAGGAATAGAGTTCAATGATGAATCATAACCGGACGATGATGAAAATGTTTTTACTTCGGATTTATCACTATGACGAGAATCACTATTAAATAAACTTAAATCCGACGATGAAACTGAAGACGATGATGAATATGAAGTCATTGATGCATTTGGATAGTATTCCATTACAGATAAAGATTTCGTAGCGACCATTGACAGATGATGGTCATCTAAACAATACAGAAAAAAATTTACTAGATTCTATTCGGAAGATTTTATTTTTGTCTTGAATGATACGTTGTTCACTCTTCATAGATAAGTTTATCGGAGGACGCAATAGTGACTCAAATAGTCACCATGTCTATCAACGAACTCTTTTTTTTTCTCCTGAAATATATTTTTCATCGAATCATCTAATTCGTATTGTTTAGGAAAATGTCGCTATCTATCAGATTTTCGTTCGTATTCAGAAGAAGGTTATTTTGAACCAATATCGTATTTCTTATACATGAAGATTTCCACATAGTATTTATGGGTCGTTCATCGATGTCGGTTTCTGCTGCTGCTGATTGATCATTCGACTGTGTTGTTGATGTTAAATTTTCAGTTGACGATAATTTCAATCGATGATATCGATTAGCTATTGCATATGTATCATTAGTTGGATTTTCTTGTCTTTTCAAAACCAATTTTTGTTTTGACAAGTCAGCCGGAGTGAAATTGCGTTCATCGGGCAATGAATGTTCGATAAATGATGATGGTAAAGACTCAAACATGTTATCAGTTGGCGATAAAGTATTGAAAACCATTGGCATAAATAAGAAATATGTGTTCTATCATAGACTACATTCTTAAATGGCAATGAGTAATCTAAACGAGCAAAAATAAAATTTTACAATCACATTCATGACAAAAGATCTTCGAAAAATTTTCAGTTATGTTTACACAACAAACACAAGTTTACATGCATAGGGTATTGACAAAGGAAGTTCTAGAAGTATTGCTACGGAGGCAGTGCTGTGACCCGTTCGCGGCATCTTTAAGAAAATAGGTTTTTCGAAACTGCACAAAGACATGCTTTGACGAGAACAGTTTGTTATGATGGCTTGAGATCTTCTTTTTTTCTGTTATTTCTATCTTTGGCTACGTCTATGATAAGATATTGTCGTTTACATGCCTCATATTCACTAACGGACCTGATATTCTTATTTTAGAATAGAGGCTTATCAAAAGATCTGAATTTTCTATTTAAGATTTAGCTCTATGTAGATTTAAAAATTGAAATTCAGAAAATAAAATGATCGTTGATATATTCATAGTTGATTTAGTTTTACGCAATTCGTCTAGGTTTCAACTTGAAAATAATTAATCGTTTGAGAGATTTGGCTTATGAAATCAAGAATTTTCTTACTGAATATAGAATTAAATTTACATGTATTGTTCTATTCAGAAAGCCATTCTTTTAGTTTACGTAGAACATATATTCTCTTGTTAATTCTATGATTGAACGAAAAATCAGCCAAACAGCTCAGTCCAGACTAAAGATCTGATATGATTACTGAATTCATTTGACCTAATACAATTAATTTATCGTTCAATTTAAACTCATCGCTTTCTGCTCTAAAGAAATCAATTTTAAATTCTATATCCATATACTTCTATTTCATCCCATTACAAAAAAAAAGTCTAACTAGTGAATCGGTAAGAGAGAAAAAAACGATCAAACCATGCGTTGCCTACTAATTCGCCGAGAAAAAACGTCATGAAATGCTTGCGATTATAATTGAGCGATGCAACATCGAAATAGAAATGACTCAGAACATTTTTATTTTTCTTCTAAAAGTCATATGTGACTTCTTTACAGAGCTGCATAGACTATTTTTTCCCTTCTTTTCTGTCTTCAATTCACGACGACGTCGTCGATGTCCTTATTATAATATGTTATAGAAATAGTAATCGTTATCATAACAACAACAGCAACAACAACAATAACTAGTGACATCAATTGATTCTTCTCATTGTTTTTACCTGTTGAAATGTGGCTTTATCATCTAAGGGTATTCAATGGCCCATTATTGTCTATTGTCGACAAGATTAATGCTAGAAGCACAATAAAACATTTCAATGAATAATAAAAGAGGAAAAAAAGAAAAGTACCGCTACTATAGAAATGAATAAACGACGTCATCTTATAATTATTAGGTGATAAAATAAAGGGAGAGAGAGAACAAGAAGAAATACAATAGAAACTTGCAATAATGTTCTTGTGGTCGATGTAACAAACATTACTCTTTACTTGACGCCTCGCCGTCAATATAGTAAGATTTCTATCTTTTGTCTCTCGTTCTCCTTTTATGTTGTATGCGTAAACATGATGACAACGACCCATATTAACTTTGACTGATCAAACTATCCTTCTCCTCTTTCTATCTTTTTTTTTTATATACTCGCATTGACATATTAATTATTGAGATTATTATCTATCTGTTTTTCTTAGAGTCGCATCGTCCAGGACGAATGATAAGAAGTTTATCGTATTTTTTTGTTTATTTGCTTATTTATATTTGTCACATGGCGATAGGTTGGCCTTGAGAAACGATGATTATGACGTTTATTTTTGTGTGGTTACTCATGCTGATAATGGCAATATGAGATACACAGATGAGTACTGCCTATTTATTTTCAAGGCCGATAAAAAAAAGTCAAGAGAAAAAGAAACATGAATGCAGTCAGATTTTTTATGTGAATTTAATTGTAATTTTACTCACCATCAAATCAAGGTTTTAGGCTTCATCTGATGTCAATTAAAGTTCAAGACGTGCGAAATTTTGAAAAGAAAAAAAATTTGACAAGAGAAAAGTGAGAAGAATCATTTAAGACTAAAAGTTGCACTCGAACTATTAATCATCGCTTGTATTTACAAGAGGTAGGCGACATATTGTACGCATTTTATTTTTACTAAAACGAGAATAAAAACGCACCGCTGATGTGTGTATGGGAATATGAAAAAAACGAGGCATGATGTATTTCATATTAAACATATGGGCGAGCTTCATGCTATGCTCAATTTACAAAATGTTCAAGTGACGGATACTAAAAAAAGAATTTCTTGTTATAGCGTCTCTATTCTTTTTTCGTTCTTGACAAGAGCAAAAAAACTCGTAAGTTGCATGATGGTAGCCTAATGAATGTGTTTAATTCGTTTGCGTTGAATATAAACTATTTACCGTTGTAACTTGAATCAGTAGATTGTGCAAAAAACAGTGAATATTGAAAGATAATTATTTAAAGTTGACTTTTAACTAGTCAATTGATTGTGTCTGAAATATACACATACATATATGTAAAATAACATTCTTTATTGACATAGTTATATGTAAATCAAACAACACTATCTAGATGTGGTTTACGTATTTCTTCTCTTTCTATCGTTTTTCCTGTATGAGCTACTCGCTATAGCGTCATATAGCTGATTACCATATGAGAAATCATATAGTTGTTTTTTTCATTCTCTCGTTCTCTCTCTCTCTCTCTCACGGAAGATCGATCAAATGGTTGAAAAGAAAACTATATGCATGGCTATATTGTAGAATACTAATAGATATTCATTAGATCTTGTTCAATTACATGATAGAAATATCTTACGTGATTGTTTTGACAAATAGTGTTGCACTATGAAATTCTTCGTTCTACTTATTCTACATCAGTAACATGTGCGAATGAAACACCTCTTCTGTTGTTTTTAATTTCATTATATGTATGAATGCACGCGCTCTCTGTATGGGCTTAAGGATGAAAACGTGTGCAACAAAAGTGTAAAAGAAAGAATTATTGGAAGGGTAACTATGAAATATAGTTCAAGGGCATTTACTTTGCTTATCGTATCGTGCATTAAAAATGAAGTTTTTGTTTAGTCTTACTTTAAGTTATTTTAATAAAATGATGGTCATCTTTGTAAACACATTAGTTTTACATAGAAAACGAAGGTTCTTTCTTATCTAAAAGAGATTATGCGGTTAAGTTATGATTTAGGGATTGTGTATCATTAAAAAAAAACAAATAAGTATTGAGTGGGAGAAAAACGGCGCAAATGTCTGATGATAATCCTTTTGCGAACTATAAAATAAAAGCAACTTTTCATCTTTTCTTCTTAACTCAATTATGTATATGATACAGAAAAATAATGAGAAGTTGCTATAAATAATAGAATGCAAACAATTATATCCCGTCATAATAGCAGAAAAAATGACGTAGTTTATTACTTTCTTATGCTTTAATAAATAATACTTGTTGTAATTCAGCATCTATTTTGCACTTGGAATACGTCAGTCTGCATGTATCCAACAGAAATTTGTTATTGCAACGATAATAGATTATGCCCTATACTATCGTATCATCCCTTTTTCAGACGAATTATTAAGATAATCATAATGTTGGATCTACTATTCCAAGAAGTAAAAACGACATGCAATATTTAATGATGCTTTTCTTATCATTCAAGTAGATTTAAATCTGATAACTTCTCAGTGTTTTCTTCTTCTTTTTTGTACTTTCAATGCAAAGGTTAAACTTCCAATCGTACTAATCAAGGACATCGGAAAGATACTTGTCGAATCTATAAATTATTGCTATATTATTCAATATTGAAAATATACATACTTGTATATATTGGATTAGATTTATGCATTCACAGTGACAATGAAGTGAATATAGTCTATGAAAATAAAGAATATTATCTATTTTAATTTTGCCTATAGATGTTATCGAGTGTTAGGAATTACTTTTAGAAGAATACGATTATGAAGAACTTTAAAAAGAATCTATTAAATTGAATTACTCATGAGTCAACAACAGGAATAGGATAGTCGCCCATCAATAATGTAACTAATGACTGTCATGAGATATTGTCATATGACGATTTATTCGTCGTTATTGAATGAGATATATACAGGGGGGAAAGACAATCACGTACACTCAATAAAAGATGAATGGTAGCAAGTAGGACCTAGAGGGATATCTATTACGTGTTGGTTGATCATTCTACTGAGATAGAGAAAGTTCTTCTGGATTACTTACATTTCTATAAAATCTATAAAATGTGAATTACTCAAAACAACTTTTTCATTAAATAAATATTTTCGTTGCTATTCTCGATTTACATCAGCTATGTCAATATGTCATGAGAAAGATCAGATTGTAACTATGAAAACCGAATGAGAATTCCCTGGCGTCTTGTTTTACATAGTTTCTATTTCGATAATAACAACGCAAAAGCATGTTTTCACACAAATGGCGAAGTTAACAAAACTGATGTCGATAAAAGAAAATATCTTCGAAAAACGCTGAGATTCGAATTGTAAACGTCAGTCGATATATAAAAAATGTGTGACGAACTGCTCGATATCTGTTTTGCTTTTCACTAAAAGTTTGTTTTTTTGCGAGCACAATGTTTTTTCTAGGTACTCTACAATACTCAAAAAAGAAACCATCTGATTATAATTGTCATGAATCAGCTGATGAAGTCATCAAACTACGTGGTTGGATAGAAAGAAAGAAACCACAAATTTCGTCGACAATTAGCGACATCGACATGAAATTTGTTCGCTGAAAGTAATTTATTAGAATTGTTTGAAATGAATATGTACTATTTTTATATGCAATTTTCTTCTATGTTGAACTTGTTCAATGCAGGTAATAAAAACAAATGAACTTGCAGTAATTACCCAAGAGCTTTTAACATGATCTCTACGGGGCCAACATTGTACTCTATTCGTTATTTTCCATTTTCGTAGTCCCTTTTTTAAAAAAAATAACATTATACTACTTTTGTAAATTATTATTTGGTTCGTTCAAACTTTTCATGTTGATCAGCTGACAAAATTTCGAAATAAATTCACATATTATATAGCAGAGCATCTTGAGATCCAAGCTGAAAAATTCCTCAGTACATTCGCTGATAGGCATGTCGATTGATTATTCGTGGTCAACATGATGATAATTTATTGGCCTTGAATGTTCGACAATGATTCATTCAATGGTATCATGTCTAATAGAAGTTGCTACTGACAATGCAGCTATCTCTTGGAAAAACATAAAACTACATCAATATTTTATGGGTTACAGGTCACTCTAACTGTAACGGGACCTCAATTGCATTTTCACCAAGAATAAAATTTTCTAGATTTTAGTGATGTTATATCTTCTTCTTGCTAATACCACTTAAATGACTTTTCTTACGATCTTTGCCGACGTTATTCCTATGTGAAATGGTGAAAACGTTTTTGAGCAACCACCTACTCGTTCCATTTTATTTCCCAGGACTATCAGACACATTATATTCGGTTTTTCTCGTGTCATAACAATAAATATTGAATTCTTATCTGTAGGTGTTACCTATCATACCATGCTTTAATATAAACCTGAAAAAAAGAACTTGCATCAAGTTAATTAAATGAGAATAATGAGCTGAAAAATCACATCTGCTAGTGAAAATGGACACGATATTACCATTCAGGTAGCGTATTGTGTAGACTGTAATTGGATCCAATTATTTAGAGTCTTGACGCTTAAAGTAAAGCACGTTCTTTTATTTTAATATTAAACTGAAGTACGTCATCAAAGTTGTGTTACGCCTCGGCGTGTCTAGATCATTATTTTATCATAGAATAGACGCTGTGTCAACGTAGCACACAAACAATTGTTATCGTATACTCGTATTGTTGTACCCATAAATATAGATCCCAAAGATATTCTTAGTATGTAATTGGTGCTCAGAGCTAACTGCAGACCGTTTGCTTGACTGTTGTTGCGTATCATTCGAAGTGATAGTAAAAAATTGTTGGTTATTGATGAAATGAAATTTTGAATAAGTTCTTCGGATTTTAACTGAAACAGATATGTTGGGGTAGCAAAAGCGCTCACATAGTTGTTTGCATGGAATTGAAACAAATTGATGGAAATCGTTTCTTCTATAATTTGACAAAATGCTTTCAGTGCTTGAAAACCTTGACGACCTATGTGTTGGATACCAATAATCCAGAGAATTCCGGTATGGAAGTTATCAATGAAAGCAATCAATTGGTCAGTGACATAGATACTGTTGCATACTTGATGTAAACTATGGTTGACATTAATGAAAGTACTGTAGCTGATCGATATCTGTCTGCAAGGGCATACCAGCGTTGCTAGATATTTCTCATATAGGTATTTGTATTGATTGGCATCAGGAATTTGTACACTGACCGTCTTCATGACACTCACTGTTGATGTATAGATAAGAAGTGTAGTGAGCGATAGAAAAAGTAGTGTGATATATAATCGGGTTGATATTCTTTGAGTTCGAAGCTCCTATTGATCGGTTGAAGATGGTATCGATGGAAAAAAATTGAATTCACGGATAATGTGCTCAGCTTTCTGAAGACATTGGATACTTCGTTTTGACGTAACCACAACTGAAATCAAAATATGCATATTACATCGATATCATGTCAAGCTATATCTTGCGTGTGTGGTTTTAGGAGTAATGCACAAAACCTTAATATAATTCACTGATTTAGAAGAATGATTTGAAAGTAGAGATTCGCAAATATTTGGCAGCCCGCCATGAAAACACATACAGGAAATATATGTTATCGAGTAATATAGAAAAACAATATGAAGCAGCCCTCGTGATTTTTGAGAGTAGGTTTCCATTTTTCAAACGCAAGTAAAAACTATCAGACATATGATCATGCAGCACTCAGTGAGATACGAAGAAAAGCCTTCATCTAAGGAAGTTCACACTATCATGTGTGATCAAATTTTTGGGAAGATCTTACTGGTGTATAAGATTTTTAATTGTGTTATTGTCGTAGCTCACAAGAGAGTTAGTTCTTATGAAAATATGATAGAAGTGTACAAACATGATCTTGTATGATTTTAATATCTGAATATTTGACCTGGATAATATTATTCAATGTTGTTTTCTTTGCAGGCGTGCAAATATTTGCCTGGGTTCGGGTGGAGGCAGAAATATTATAGCTTTTGGAAGTTCGGAGGGTTTGTTTTGGGGGTGTATTGCAACGATGAAACATCTGCCCTCAATTAATACCTTCGACGATCGTCGAAATTTGTTTTCGTACAAGAAGAAGCGTTGATACTCCTGAGAAATTTTTACCCGCCCTGATAAGAACACAATGGGCTTTGGCTTTTCATCTATGCAACTACTAAAGTACTTTCGTCAAAATCTCACTGATGCACACGCGATTCTTACAGCAGAAATAATTTCTTTTCGCTGATGAGATGAGAAGAGCGTTTCACAGTTTACAATAATTGAAGATGAACACACTCGTTTTTGTGGTTTGTTCGACAGGGATTGTATTACAAGGTTCGATTTCTTGTTGCTTGTTGATTTGAGTAATCATCATATTGAGAGTTTTGCCAAGAAACTATCGTATGATGATATACCTGTTTTACTGTTTAAAGAAATAAGAGTAAATGTGTTGTGGCTACTAAACAATCTATTTAAATAGTAAATGTATTGAAGAGAAAAAAGCTATGTTTCTCGTAGAAGAATTTTTCTCTCTTTAACATAGACACGCTATATGAGCATAAATGCTAGTGGGTTGATACTGAGAGAAAAATTCACAATAGGAGTTCATGTAGATGTCTCGAGTTTTCGCGAATAGTTCAGATGAAAATTCCATGAGCACAAGAAGATAGAATTTATGTTGTCATTAGATCAGTCTTTATTTCATTCCGAATAAATTTAACTTTCGAATGAGGAAATATAAATAGAACTCTGCTTTTTCTATTCGCTAAATATCTCGTTTTCTTTGTTAAGGAAAGAGGGGAACTTAACAATATTTTTTAATTTAAATTTTCTGATGACACTTTAAGTCACTTTCTTGATTACAACACCTACTGTATATAGGCGTATAAAAAGATTGTTTCCTCTAGCCTGCAGACAAGTGCTATTAGGAAAGGATCATTCGGAAAAACTTCACCGAGAAAATAATCCGTTAAACATTACTGGATGTTGTCCATCTCCTACGTCACAATCTAATTCGGATTCGATATATTCAAATCGCATCAAATATTTCTTTCATCCTAAGATTACGAAGTTTTGTTTTCAAAACTGTTTTTCCCCAAATAAAAAAACGAACGACAGCGTCCACATATTAGAAAACTTTGAAAGCATTGTTTCAATAATAATAAAAGAGCTTCTGCCGCTGTAAAAATGAAAAGGCATAACTAAAACAACTATTGGCATACTCTGTATGTTCACAAATGCTGTGAAGCACAACAAATTAACAAATGTGGAATCAGGACTCAAATAGAATGCGAGTTCACAAAAGAGCATTAGAATTTATGTGAATTTTTTTCATTCTGTAATAGAACTTTGAGGCTTGCACCAGGGGGCTCTGAATCTCATGATTGCTATCAAGTTTCATTCAGTATCCTGTCTTGAATATTTCCAGTATCCATTTGAGAGATTTACCATAGTTGTAATCAACGCTGTTTCAATTTCATGGAATTCATGTTCAGATGTTTTTTCTTCACTTAATAAATTAGGTTGTAATAAGATTCGTTATGGGCTGTACTCAGACTCGATAAATCGTGTGCCCCTGTTCGATGAAATATTTTCTAAGAGAGTCATAAACAATTTAAAACGCTATCAGATGTGCAGCTATGTAAGAAAGTAACAAAACCGATCAGAAAATGTGAACTGAGAATACTTGACAAGACATGTTAGAAACTGTGCATTGGCTCTTCGCCATAATTAATTAGACTTCATTACTTTGCCACAAGGCATCATGAACAGATAAATTATTTTGCGCTAATGGTATAAAAAATATGGAATTACATTTGACGATCAAAAGTTATGTTCATTTCGATAAAGTTTATAAACAGAACAAACGTTTTTTATAACAACAAGCTTTGTAGAAAATTTAAAACATCAAACTCGTGTTCGTTATCTTGAACTCAGAATGAATAGAACAATAAGCACTTCATCTTTTCATACGAGTAGATATTTTTATTATTCTTTATTGATCTATTAAACATATCTATGAATAATGCGATTTATGGTGATACAATAAAGGAAAATAAAGATAAAAGTTTTTTGATCGCATTATTTTCACATTATAAACAAAATCAATATGTTTCAATTTTGCACAATTGATACGAGTTGCATTTCTTGTAAAATTCTCTGTTACAGTTACCAAATGTTCATATTTAACATGAAGCTTGCTAAGGCAAGGTAGACGTGTGTTCAAGTTGGAAAGAAATTGCTCTACATAGTCGATATGTACATCAAAACAGTAAAGTTCAACGAGATGAGAATACTCAATAACCGATGTTGCATTTTCAGGTTTCAAAACTTGTTGTAAAGGTGTCACATTTTTTGATATTTTATTACTGAGTGTCAGATGATTGAGTACTGGAAATGAAAGCGAAATTTGAGCGAAGAACTCGTGTTCGAAAGATTGGATAGTGTCAAAAATATGCAGAACACGAATATTCATGAATCTACCACCAGGGAAACTGCCCGTAATTGGCCGTATACGTTCCATATTGAATGGCAATGAATAAACATGACATCGGCCTAAACCATGATGATCATAGTTGATGTAGCAATCAGCATTGTATCCTCTTTCGATGAATGCCGATAGAATATCACCAGGAGACGGTCTAAGTTGTTGATCAAGCCTTACACGCTCGGTAACAATGTCGAAGAAAAATGAATGTAAATGTGGCATACTATTAAGTATATAGTTGTGCAGATGGGTACCATCAATGAATGAAGTTCGTTCACGAATACGAAGAGATAAAGTGAGTTGTTCCAAATTCGACATTCTGCGAAGAACCGGCGCAATGTGACTATCGAATTCAGCTGTTGAATGATATACATATAGAGAAAAGCGTTTGAGTGTACGTAGAGTTTTCTATGAAAAAAATATATTGCCTCATAATAGTACGCTAATTCTTCGTTCAATGAATGACTATATAAAATATGGTCTAATGATTGTTTTTTTTCATGAATTATTCTTCTATTTAATTTATTAGTGACTTTCCAATGGTCGCATAGAATAAATTTGATTCAGAAATATTCTCAATTGTGCAAGTAATTTCATGAATAAATAGCTACTGCTTCTGTTCAACTATATCGTGAGTATAGAAGAAATAATGAGGATTAAAATTCAAAAATCTAAATATTGAGAAGCGGCTCGCTTTTCTATAATATAGGCTACAGATTTATACTTTTCATAGCTGTATCTGAACGATAGCAATTCAATGATCTTCTGATAGAGTTTAAAATGAAAGAATTCTTCTTCTATTCTCTATAATTCTTTACCACAATATTTAAAACGCTTGATGAAACATATCTCATATTGAATCGCCAACGATGAAAACGAAGCGCAGCATAGCATGTATCATAGATATAATCAAGATCGATAATAAACGTATGTAATTGACTTAGTCGACCATCCATTAGACTAAGAAAATCTTCAAAATTGTTCATTTTGATGCGTAAATGAACGATACTCGACGAGCAACATATATTAGAAGGTAAACCTTTCAGCACTGATTTCCCGAAAGCATAAGTGTCATTTACATTCAAATCCAAATATTTCAAATTTGTTAATACGGCGAAAATATTTTTATAAATACCAATTAACAGATTTTCCATTGATTCGTTCGAAATTTTGTCACTAATTCTGACGGCTAAATCTGTAATTTGATGTAAGAAGGAGGTATAAATAAATGGAGATTTATCTAGAACACACAAAGAATTAATTATGCTACTTCTTAGACATGGAGCCATAAGGTAACTTGCCATTGAAAATATGGCAAGCCATTGTGAATTCGAGATTGATAAGAGTGAGTTTGCGTAAGTTTAGATAATTGCCAGCAAGAAGAACACGTAGAAAGAAACATCCCTGAACAGTGAGGCATTCCACGTTGTTATGAATCCGAGGTAATAATTGCATAAAAATTCGATCACGTATTGTACTAGTTCGCCAATCGATTACTCTATTTGATGGTAGCATCATTAGATTGATACTTCGAGTTAAGTTAATATCACATACCATATTATCGAGCCTTTTATTAATACCGAAAAGTGAATAGAGCAGATCCATATTATTGAGTGTCTTGAAAATGTTAAGTAAAACTTCATCAGGTAAATCAAGAATGCTAACAGTTGAATTATTCATGCTTATTATGATTCAGAATATTATAAACAACGAGATATATTATATATATATATTTGAATCGGTGTGTTGGGATAAAATGAATTTGTGCCGATGTACCTCATGTCGTCCGCGATGACGATGTGGAATTGTTACACTGAATTCTAGTCAAACTTGTTCATGAATGAACTTTGCCCGTTCAATCATAGTGAGTTAATCTGAGTGAAAAGAAATATGAACTTGCAGGCATGTATTATTGCAGGTTACACGCACGAGGTTACTATGATAAATGGGGAAACGAATAAAATACGGTTATCATCTAAATTTTCCGTTCAAAAAGATCGACCTTTTCGTCCTTTCACCATAGCATTATGTCTTGAGTGTGGCTTTAGGTGCGTTGTCTTCGGCAGAACCGCCACCGAACCTCAAATCCGCACCCTTCTTGAAAGATGATAAAATAGTTTTTTAATGTGTATATTTTATTTTCATGAAGACTTATGAAAAATACAGAATGAATAAGCAGAGTAGATATAACAAATATTATAGGATAGAGAACAATATAGTTGATCATATTCACTGATCTTAATGATGGCTGGCAATGCCGATTTTATTCGCGGAGTTTCATTGATGCGGGACTCCCTATTAAGAAAAATGGTAGATTAATTCAACTTCATAAAGTACCTGAAATGATAATTGCAAGCGAGAATGCACTAGTGATACAATAAAATATCAGCGACCTTCTCTGAATAGTTTATCAATGAAGCACTATTTTTTTACATACTATATATAACATATTTCTTGAATTAACATGAACAATAACCCCACAGCTGACCAGGCATTTTCTCACAGAAACCACAACAGCAACGGGGGTAGCCACTACAAGAGCCGTAACTGCGAACGCAACTACGCTTGTTGATTAAATGGTTAAGACCACCGTTAGCATCGCGAGCTTGAATTTCTATCGTTTGTGTTTTGTAAGTTGTTGCCAACAGAACTAAGAGAACGATTAAACAAAACATTTGATTGACCTTCTTCATTGTTATTCTTTGCTCTTTGCCACTTCTGAAAAAGATTGATAGATGAATATTAGCAAGAATGCAAATGATACCTTTCTACTGCTGTGCATCCGCTTAATATATATCTCAGTCGCCGGGTAACAACGAATATTGGTGGAAAAAAAATCGCTAACAGATCGGAAGTGATTGACTGCTTGATGGTACAGAGAAAATAAAGAATATATTTTTTTTCTTGTTTCTTGTTGTCTCTATAGTGTTCGAACGAAAGTAAGCTTTTGGTCCAGTTCCGATCAACGCAAATTATGGATTTTATAATTATATGAGACTATTACAATAACAAATAATAATGAAGCTTTTTTTAGATATCCCTGGATTTGCATAAGATTTAACCAAAAAATTCAGATTCCTAAATAGTCTTGTAGTCTGAGATTCTGTGATTCAGTATTGACAAGGGAATTGAAATAGAGAGGGGCATATCATTTCTACCTTTCTGGAAATTCACTTTAGATAAAACCATATTATAATAACTGTTTTATGCAGAATCCATTCAAAGTGAAACATTTGGATCGAACGAGGAAAGTGTTTCTCGGTAGAGTTCTACAAATGATTGCTGCGTAACTATAGTATGAAATTTATCAGAAGGCAGCTATTGTGTCTTGAGTAGCGTCAAAGATTGAGAAAATAATGCACAGTAAATGAATACGATTTCGTCTACTAATCAATATTTTATTTTGATTGGTTAATTAATTTTGTCGAGAGGATATTCTTTGGGCGAGCAATCAGCTTTGCAAGTGCAGATCCAAAAATGAGGTAAATGCTTTGCAATAGCTGCACAATCTCCAATACATAAAAGACCCTTGATTGCATAATTGACTGAATCTGGTGCAGTTGATTAAACATTATTCAAATTAAACGAGGATGAAGAATTATACATGATCAAACTTATTGAGTTTGTAGTGCTGTTTTAGTTTATTGAAATGAGTTGGGTATTTCGGCATAGATGTCGTGAAAATCGCCTGGGACAACTCCAATCAAATGTTTTTGTTTTCAAGATCAAGTTTATAGGTATATCCGAGTAGAAATAACTGTAGCAATCGATTGAGAATTAAATTTTAGATTTTTCCGATGCTTAAATTATAAAATACTCGTTGAAGTGAAAACACTAATTAAACTGCATACGTGACGCTCGACTATGTCACAACAGAGTGAGTCATCTAGGTCTGACAATATACTCAATTTTTTATTTTGATTAGTATACAATCATTATATATATATATATATAGTTTGTGAGGAATAATTATGAAAATGCTTCTATGTTTAGAATGGATACGAACCACCTCTTGTGATTCGCTAGTGGAAGATTCTAATTAAAGTCTTGATACAGCATGGAAGCAAAAGGATGAAAAACATGGCAAGGTAATTTTTGTTTTCCTCACATGACATTTATGCTTGTTCCGATAAGACACTCTTTCATTACTCATTATCTACACTTATATCATCAAATCAATGGCAGATAAACAAGATTTTTCCGATCCGAATACTAACTGCTTCTCGAATAAGTATGTCACATGTTATTCAGATCGTCTTGTCATTCACCAGTATTACTTTCCCATTGGTGATAAAACCATTAAATACAGCGACATTCATTCGTGCGACTTACTGTCAATGAAAGAGCTCGGATTTTTTAATTCGAAAACTTGGGGTATGGGACTATCACCGATTTGGTGGCATGCAGATTTCCATCGACATTCTCGTGAGCATTATATCCTATTGGACACACGTTCATGGCCTAAGATCGGTGTCACCATGGACGATAATGATACGCCCATAGTTTACAAGTTAATCAAGGAGAAGTCAAACCCGAAGAACTAACTTCATACTGAATTATGATTCATGACTCTGTAACAAAGCCTTTGATATTCAGTACACTTAGTGCTTACATAAATGAAAAAAATTAGCATTCTGTATATAAGCTTTTGAATGCTGTTTGTAACTCTCCATTTACCTCTCAAATAAAGAACTTTGGCTTTTTATTGATCGTACTAATTCAAATTGGTTCTCGCATTAATTTGCAATCAGATTATTTATTTTTGTTGCGGATGCAGCCGGGTTGGGAGAACCAACACATTTTTCGAATCCAGCTATTTTTCCGTTTTCTGGTTTTGCTTATAGAAAGTGTCAACTATAAGCTTTTCATTACACAAGATCCAGTTCCTGGATTTTAGGCTCATAAAATAAAATGGTACAAGTGTACTGCACTAATTCACTATCGCATCTTATACAGTCTGAAATCGCACTAGAAATATATAATATCTTTTGTAAATGACAATCTAGCGATGAACCCGTTTCAAGTGAAAGTTATTTAATATCATTGAAATCAAATATCTTACTGCATTTAATAGATGTCAAAATGTAAATATTAACTGCTGAAAAGCTTGAGCGTGTGAATGTCAGATCGAGTGCAGCGGTTATGTTCATGTTTACAAACATAACCTTTCGAATAAAGTCTATGGCTGGTATGTTAGATCCGTTATGAAAGAGTATGACGTCCCTCTCATGTTTCATCTAAAGATATATTGGCAATGTTTTGTTTACATTAAACGAATTATTCGAATCTATTCACGGCATGTTAAATAAAACTAACAATTCTCATCTAAATGCAAAGATCGCGTCAGCAATATTCACCAGTTCAGCGTACCATAAAGAATCACCTGAATGATGCGTCGTATCATTTAGATCTGATTATCCTAAACCTGTTTTCAGAAACATAATTGACAATGCTCTTCTGTGAACACTAAACTCTGAAGATACCGGATGATTACTATTTCAACAATCGCCATTTTCTACTTTGAATCTATCCAAAATTGGGTGTTTAACATGTCCCACACCCTAATGTACTTAGCTTGAGATAATCTTATGACTTCGTCCTCACATATTCATGCGAACATAATAATTTTTCCGAAAAGATTCTTTCTTATGGAGACATTTTATGAATTATAAATGCATTTGCTGTAGAGAAATGCTGACATTTTTTTCCATCTCACCACTTTGATAAAGCACAGCGGAAGACAACACACAATTTAACTTTCTATCACCATGTGGCAGAGAAGATGCATTGTGCCGATGGTTTCTAAGACAACCGTGCCGGCTCATGTTTCGAATGAAAAACAATGTATTTAATCGAGAGTTATAAGAAATGTTTTTATTTTATTCTTCAACCACCATCTCGAGAACGCGAACGCAAAGAAAAATACGACTAATAACTACAGCATTTCTTCAAATGGCGGTAACATCGTTGGCTACTTCATCACGGCTTCGATTCCGGCGTGAGTGTAATGATGGCAGTCAGTCGATTGAAATTAGCATCTTTGTTCGTCCGGAAAATTCATCATCAATGATAAATGGAGATTTTCTCTGGTTTCAATTATTTGTCGAAGTTCTATTACGAATGATCGACGATGAAAAAGCGAAACAGGAACTGATCGATAGAAGTCTCTTAGAGTATCAGAACGATACAGTAGAGCAACGGAAAATTCACGAATTCGCTTCAAACTATATTTCATCTGATGCTATCAAATGGTATACACGGGACAGTTTCGTTTATCGAATGGTCAATAAAGCCTTACGACAGCAAGATTTAGGTACTCTCTATGCTTTTCGAAGGCTAATTATAGATATTCATCAACAATTACAAAATCTTCATAAGCAAGCAACATCAACACAACTGATTCAGCATTTCTATCGTGGTCAGCTGCTGTCTCATCAAGAATTAGATCAATTTCAGCAAAATATCGGAAATTTCGTTTCTATGAATAGTTTCTTGTCGACAAGTATCGACCGGCAAATGGCAGCTGCTTTTGTTGGAGAACAAGATGACTTGTGTAATGTTTTATTTGATTTGCGAGTTAACCCAAAATTAAGTGGAACAAAGCCATTTGCAGATGTTACATTGTTGAGTTATTATCGAGATGAAGAAGAAGTTCTTTTTATGCTTGGAGCAATCTTTCGTATATGTGCGGTTACGTTTGACTCACAAGTGAACATTTGGACCATTGAACTCGAACTGTGTAACGATGATAATAATGAATTGAAGCCGTCATTTGATAGTCTGAAAGAGAATATTGATGATGAGACTAATTTGTATGAATTGGGAAGAATTTTCTGGAATATGAAACATTTAGATGCATCTGAGCGATGTTTCAAGGAACTATTACAACAGCAACATTCGAATGTTCATATTATCCCAGGCTGTTACTTACACCTGGGTAATATTGCGACCGATCGAGGACAATACAATGAAGCCGTTGCGTATCACCGTCATGCATTAGAATTGAAACAGCAAGTATTGCCTAATGATCATCCGCACTTGCCGTACTCTGAAAATAGTCTCGGCGAGGCATTACGGCAAAGCGGTAAATTTGACGAAGCACTAATACATTATCAGAAGGCTTTGAACCTTTGGCGACAGCAGTACAATGGTGGTGATCGCGAAAATGTAGCCATGTGTTTGCATAATATTGGTACTATTCATGGAGAGCGAGACGAGCTAGCAGAAGCTCTCACTTGTTTTCTACAGGCTTTACAAATTATGGACCGATGTCTACCGAATATTCATCCGAAGATAGCAAGAACTCTAAAAAACATAGGATCGGTATTCGGCCTACTAGGACAAATAGAGCCAGCTCTAAGAGCATTCAAAAGGGCACTTGCAATTCAACGACAATGTCTACCATCTAACCATCAAGATCTGGCAGATACTCTGCGTGACATTGGGATTTACTATGTGAATACCGGTGATCTATCACAGGCACTTAACTACTATGAGCAAGCACGATTTATTCTGGAGCAGACCTTGACGATAAGCCATCCTTCGTATGTACAGATTCAAAGCGATATTGCAGAAGTTCAACTTGCCCTAGCGACATCTTCAATTAGTGGCAATTAGAACAGAGACTAAATTTCGAAAAATAAAAGTACAATTTTTGAACTCTTCCCCTCATTTCACTCATCATGCGAGAGACTATTGTGGAAAGTTCACAGATATAGCTTATAGAAAATCACTCAAGATAACAGAGAATTCGCTACGGCCGTTTTCCTCCATCAAAAACCTTGAGAAATGCTTTAGCAACGCCACTATCCTGTCGCTAACAATTTTGTCTACATCTACGCTCACCCTCAAGTTAGTTTCCATTAATCCTTTTCATTTCAAAATAGTACAGTTAGGATCTAAAAACTTTCACAAAAAGAAAAAGAAAAAGAAAAACAATATGAAACTTTGTAAAGATCATAATGATTCTAATTTTCTATTGGTAGAGCATAGGATACTGGGCGGTGCAAGATGCGTTTTTAATCTTACGCTGTTTTTTCTTAACATGGTAAGAACAGGATGCGAAAAGACCATCATGTGAACATCTCTTCTACGCACTTCGTCATCAGTTTAAAGTGGCTACTTTTGGGTGCGGTAAAGTTAATGCAAATATTGACACCTTTTCATTTAGAAAATAGTTGTATGGATTTCTGCTTTAAATAAGGAGACTCACATATGTAGCATAGATTTTTAGTCAGCTTGAATCAAATTCTAGATTATTAATTGATTCGACGAAGATATTCACAATCGAAAGAGTCAACTTATGTTTTATTAGAAAATAACGATTATGCTAGTTTACAATACAAAATGTCGTTTTAGATATTAATTTTAATTATTCACTTGAAAAATATTGAGTATCTGAATATTTTCCAGTCTTTAGACCACCAATTGGCATTTGAATTTCCTGACGCTCTTATCCTTTCCGATATGTAAAATGATTCATTCTAAGACGATACGAACTATCTTCCAACCAATGAAGACTTAACTTTTCAATAAAGAATTCCATGCAATCACCCTGCGCAAAGTCGCAGTATGTGAATAAAAGATTGGTAATATGATCAAACTGATCTATAATATCAAGTATCCTATCTTGTGAATTAGTTAAAGTTCCAAGAGTTTTAACATTTTGTATTGTGCGCCAAAGATTATTAATAGATACCGATTGATTATCACCGCGTAACATAAGAGTGTGAATTTGTGATGGTATCACAAATAATGGATTATAGTTCATAATAAGAGTATTTAATCGAGGCAAATGTTTTATTATTTTTTCAAGCTCACGCCTTGATATTGATTCAATATCAGTATTATCAAGTTCTTCGATTTGATAAAAATCCATAATTGTTTGAAGGACGTCTAATGGCATAAGTGCTGAACAACAAAGTATTAATGATTTTACTTGTGTAAAACGATGAATAGGTGGTATGATAAACTTATCCATGTTGTCGGATAAACAATCAATTGTATTTTGATAAAAAAATCTTTCTCTAGATGCACTGGTACTGGTGTTATAGGTGGACAATCAGATGAAGGATAAAGAATAGTTTTTAATCGAAATCGAGCTATTGTATATAAGAATGTTGATCAATCTTTAGGATTTAAAATTTGACTTTTAAAGCTAAATTTAATAGTATTTGTTTTGAAATCGAAATTTTCCATTGATTACCGTCAACTAAATCATGTTTACCGGTTGCTTGAAGAGCCAGATGCATTAATTGATGTAGATTAAGAAGACACTGTTTAAGAGTTGGAAACGATGCAACAATATCTACGATAGAATCAAAAATATATACAAAGAATCTTTACAGTGGTTGTTGTTTTTTACCTTCGACAAAATGAAATGTATGACGAGTAGAACAATGAGAAAATTGTTCAAGATTTATTTTGATTTTCTTGATCAATAAAAAGATAAAGATATGTAATTGAGCGACCGAGAGATTGAAAAATTGGCGTAGCATCAACATTTTCATACTGATTACTGTATCGTATATAACAATCCTCATTAGGAGTAAAAAAACCGATCATTGAGACTAATGAATGATCGAAATAAATCACACGGAGATAGGTATTCAAATGAATCGAATAATAGTTCAGTTGAAAAAGATTCAAAACATGAAATCACATCTAGAAAATGTCGGATAAGAATTCAAAATCATTTAACCTATTAGCTCATTTTAATTTCATAGAATATAAAATCTCTCTGATACAATCTCTGCTGAATTTACTGGTTACAAGGTCACCGAAAAAAAAACAATACTCGCCTGTTAAAGAAACTGTTGAGTACTCAAGTACTTGTATAATGCTTTTGTTGATAGCATACTGTAATATTCTTTAGAGGTATACTTTCAAGTCAATAGAAAAAAATGGTAAAAAATATTGAAGTGACGATTTGAATTTGTCAGATCACATAGGATGCAAAACGTTTAATTTTTATCTGAAAATTAACAAAAATGTCTTCAAGTAGTTCATTTCACTATGTGTATCTAAAAATAAAAGAATATTTATAATAGGAAATAGGTTTTATTTTCCCAGTTTATTAGGCAAACAAATGTCGAAAGTAGTAAAACATTTAAAGAAAAATCGGTTCGTTTGGTTGAAAACATTAACCACGAAAGTGGTTTTAAATCAATATTTTCGAGAGTGCATTCATGTGTTCTCTTTTGTACAGTACGTTAGACAGATAAAACAGAACAGTAGAGTATACTCTTCTGGAGTTGCGTCAGTAAATTTGTCTGTCTAGATACTCATAAAAGTACTGGCACGAGTACTTAAGAAAACATCTAAAGTCAATACAGCTTCTCAAAATTTTCAAAGTATTTCCATCAACTGCCTTGCTGGAATTCTCCATCGCATAATCAAGAGAACAAATGGAGAGAATAGTATAGATACACTCTTTTTTTCGCGATTGTTCTATGTTTTTCTTTTGGTATTGCACGTATATTCGCGAAATCATGTGCCGTTGTTCCTTTTGTTCTCTCCGTTCTGTACATCGCATTATCTATCTACAGCATCGTAATATTTTCCCTGAATCGTCCTCTGATTAATATTCTCCTCGCAAGACATGTACAACGAGGTGTCATTACCGGCGGTTTCATGAACGAATTTTACACCGTACCAGTGAGTGCAACAGTTCTGATAGGAGCACTTGCTGCATGTATCGATCCAGCAGTCAAGCGAGAAAATATTCAACTTACCGAAATAAAAGTTATGCTTTATGACGATCGTTACTTACGTCACACCAAGTTTCCAAAAGAAATTATTTTATGCCTAATAGTTTTCATTCTTTTCTTCATTCTTACGATCATTTTTGCTAGTACGAAGTTTTAAATGAAACACTTCCTTTCGTTTTCTACATGTCATTTTTTTCGAAAGTCTATTTCCTAATGTGAACACTCTGCAAAAGTTATCCGCTTAATATAATTGGCAGCAAACCGCGTTGCAATTGAAATCAGTGCTCAGTAGATAATAAGGATACAGATGTCGATGAGTTTGCGTTGATGATGGTTATTCATTCACCTCTATCTAGATATCAACGCCAGCATTTATCGCATAGAGACTGACTGCATCAACCCACATGAATGTCAGACGACTCACAAGAACTTATATGTATCTTTCTATTGTTACAATCAGTTCTAATCTAAATTAATGAATGAAACACTTACGTGGCTACAAAAGTATAGCCGCCGGCCATTCGATACACTGATAAAGTGGACTGAAGAGTCCCTTGTTATTGAAAGTATTTCATTAGTTCACCAAAGTCAATTTATATTCGAATAATTGGTTTGTAAAAGTGTTCTTGAAAATGATTAATTGGATGTCTAATTAAATGTAACACAAAAACGTTTTCGGCTCATATTTTCTTTCACACAACAGCAAACTGAACGCTGATCGATTTTTCCGTCGAGAAGGCTAGTCCAAAATTCAGTAATAGTTTCTCAAATTTTTTATAAGAAATTTCCTATCAAGAACCATGAGAGCAAGTCAATCCAAAATGATATTTAGGTCTGACCAAAGTTCTGCAATTCAAAAAAACAAATTAAAGAAAAAGACAAAGCTCGAGCTCTATTTTATTTAATGTTGATGATAATTGCCATGATTATATATATCAAGTTGAATCTTTTCTAACCATTTGTTAAAAGTTTTTTTGAACTCGTTTTCGAAAAAGTTTTGGGCAACTTGAACACCACATGGGCTAATCATATTTCATTGTTTTTAAAATTTAGCGAAATTTTGTCCGATCATGGTAATTGTGTTCTATCACTACTAGTAATGGGATATGGATTTATTTTCGATAGGTTAGTCATAAGTCATCTAATGCTAGCTGGCTTATTGAAGATGAATCGTCAAAGACTATTGTTCATAAAGACAGACTTTAACCAAAAATTTGTTTAGTATATTCTTCAAATCGAATAGTCCTCAGTGTAGATACAGTCAAGGATGTAGGTCACAAGTATTATATTGAAAATTGTCCGAAGCCTTTTGTTAATGAAATATGGAAACAAACAGAGATATCAGGGCCAAAATGTACAAAATTGCTTGGCGGCCATCGTTGGCTTCATACTTATCCAATGTTATTAATTAGATGACTGAAGAAGGAATCAATGTAATGTCATACCCATTATATGCGCCAGGCCTGATACTATGCCATTTTTGGCTAATCAATTCTATTGAACGTAGTTTAACTAATTAAATAAATGAAATATGATTAGCCCATGTGGTATCCAAGGTACCCGAAAATGTTTTCGAAAACGAGTTCAAAAAAACTTTTAACAAATTGTTAGAAAAGATTCAACTTGATATATATAATCCTGGCAACTATCATCAACATTTAATAAAATAGAGCTTGAGCTTTGTCTTTTTCTTTAATTTGTTTTTTTGAATTGCAGAACTTTTGGTCAGACCTAAGTACATAGCTAGAATCGTTTTGAATAACGTGAATAATATATAATGATGGTAAAAGAAAAGCCATTTCATAAGCAACTTATTGATCAATATAAATATAGTTCACAAGAATCAAAACATAAATAAAAACAACTATGCTTAAAACACTTGAAGCAATATGAGTCATGTCTCGGTCGAGTCCGGATGAAGAAAATTTTGATTTTCTACCAAACTCATAGTTATAGAAGCTAATCTATACCAAGCATTGAAAACAAAATGATCAATTTGTTTTTATACGAGTATATCCCATTACTGATCGTCAGTAAATGCTAATCAAATGAAATTTTTCTATTAAGAAATGTGCTGAATTTCTAAACCATATGTGATCGTTCGATCTTACTCCTGCACAAAACCGAACCACACGTTATTCTTTGCTGCGCTAAATATAAAATTAATGAAATAAGATTAAGCCACTCAAGTTTTTCACATTTATTTTTGTACAAAGTATTTCCTTATGCTACGTCGAATTACATAATACTGATATCGAATTAATCGATAGAACATTTCTGCTACTTCCACCAAAGATAAAAAACTGATTCCAATCCAAAGACCTGTCTGACCACCGACATCCGATAGAACATTGATGGGTCCCATCGCTGGTATTTGTGTATAATTTTCGACTAAAATTGATTCATGCACTAATTCAATAGAAAGATAATTAGTCTGAATATGTCTCTGCCAATCCGTTGACCAATCATTTGGTAATAGAATTTCAGAGTTTTCAACGAAATGTTTTATATCATTCGTTAACCAATAGGCTGGTGCTTTCCACATCGATGCTTTGACAATAAAATCCGTAATTGAACATTGCTGTGAACAATATGGACAATATTCTGTAAGTAAACTTGATAAACTGCTCAGAGTAATGGATGCGTTCGAATAGCATGTATCAGATAGATTACATAATGGAGCTACAATTATTGTTTTAGTCCTTGGCAAAACAATTGAACGAGCATTCCATTGCTTTGGATCGATGCAGCCGCATATGCCATACCTATATTTGAATTAATAGATTCTATCATTTCTTCTTATTCACATTTAATATTCTTACGTGTAAACTTCGGTACATAAATCATAGCATAAGTCTTCTGAATAGCTATATTCCACGTTAGGATAGTTATCAAACATTGTTTGCATAATCAATGGTATTTCATCATTACACGTTGAATACGGGGCACTCAAATAGAAAATACTTTTCTTTGAAAATGTCATTCGATGTTTAAAACCGGTAACTAATGCTCTACCAGCAAATTCAATCATAGGAAATTGTCCATTATCGTGTACCATCGCTATCATTCCAATATCTGATATCGAATAGTGAAATAGATTTCAAAATTATGAAAGACGATTCTACGAACCTTCTCTAGCATAAGGAATATATTGATGGCTGTGTGCATATAAACTAAGTTCGAGTTTGCCAGGTCCACCATATTCATCACTTTTACGTACATTCGTCATATTCTTCAATTTAGCATTGAACGTGTAACAGAGGCCATGCGAAGACGAAAGAAAATAAGTGAAATCGGATGTTGAACAAATCCTATCATTAAAGACACACTTAATGAGCATGGCACTCAGAGGAAAAAAGAACTTAATTATTGATTCATTTTGATTGATTTTGATTCGAAAAAATTCCTTGACATATTGACTTTGCAATAATGAAAATGAACTTGTATCGGTTGTATTAGTAATATTCAATGTATTTGTATAATTTAGAAAAGGTTCAATAAATTGATCATAACGAATCTGTGCGACGTTACAAATTGTAAACGCAGGAAAATTTTGTGGCCATTCGCTTACTAAATTTACAGACGTCTGCGTAGAATATTGAAAGTATTCGCGAATAGTTTGAATGACAAAGTACAATGTAATCCCACTGAAGACGAGAAACGATAGTGACCAGAACATTCGATTTTTTTTACTTTGGCTTCGTGCAATACCTGGAATACCGTGAGTTGATGTGTTGAGAGCAAATTCTCGCATGATCGATCGCCATCCTTGTCGAACTCTATCTGATTTAATTGTGGATCTGTCAACACGAAAGACTGTAGCCACACGCATGTATTTGTTTATAGTTTTGCTTTCAAAACTAACAATGAAAAAAATCGATTATTAATGTACGTAATAAAACTATAGTTGAACATATATGTATGAGGATCTCATTTATTCTTCTTCGTGTCGATGCCAAAGATCTAGAAATGGCATAAAGCCTAATATATGTATCATAGATGTCCATGGCGGCGCTGTCGTTGCCGCCGCAGCGTTAGCGGTACCTTTTTCAAAGTCTCATCGCGGTGCGGTGCGGCAGCGGCAGATTTTCACCCACGATGGACATCTATGATATATGTGTATATACTGTTGTCTGGTATCCAACATACAAATACATCAAACGATGACGTTTCCAAAGTGCTTAAATTTAAGCGACTGAAAGAAAATTTTCTAAAATTCTCACTTTCGTGAGTATCTGAGTATTAATCTTTTTAGGATAAAAGTTTATCAAACTGCAAGTGGCATCGGAGTAACGCAAGGCCTGAGTCTATTATGCTGTTTGCAAAATGAAGATATTTGCATGGTTTTCTTACCATACTCAATAACTAAATATGTCAATTTTTAGTATCTATTTGATATCAACTAGGCCAATACATTTTATTTCTATCAATAATGATCTTTTCAGCGTTTCCTATGAAATTCTTCTCGAATCTTCTAAAAACACTTTTGAGTAAGAATCAATAGAATTATTCATGTCTTTCAATAATTGTAAATGATGAGTTATAAGTATTGAATCTCACAGTGTTCACAGTCAAGTATTTTTATTATAGGCTTTAATATTTCGCCTAACAATACTGGCTGTTCATGCGACGATTTTTGGCTCAATAATCTTCACTATTTTTATTTCACGTGTTTACGGTGAAAACCTGTACTATTTCTTTGAGTTAATACCCTGCTACTTTCTAATCACGATAGAATATCAATAAAACATATTTTTTTGATTTTACAGTAAACCTATAGTAAACAAAAGATCGAAGTGTGGTTTACTCTTATTGTTTCTGTTCTGGAGAATTCAATCTTACTGATTTCTTCTTGCATTAATCAAAAGTCAAAAAATGGAATCGATTCGATTAAAAAGTAATTTCTCTATTAACTATTCACGCGATTTGCTTGAGTATAATGATTCGATTCCTCAAGTACAGCTTTTCCCTAAACTGAGCTGATAGATTTTCAACTGTTTTCCACAACTACTTCTGTTTTTATCGGCCTAGTAGAAAGATCTAGTTTTACTTAAAATTTAGAATTGCCGAGCAGGTTGTCAGTATTTTGAGCGCCTCTACTGAATACATCGATAAAAATCTATCACTAAACGATGATGCATACGTAGTTCTGTCGTCCGTGAGTTTGTGGGATGTGAAAATAAATGCAGATTAAAATTTGTCTCTTCCTTTTAAATAATTTAATGTTAATTAGATGAAATATTTTCATTATTCTATTCTGCACAGATATTTACCTTAACAAATCTACCGAGTGATTAAAAATTCCTACGTACGTGTACTCGCTTTACATTGAATTGTTTGAGATTCAATAACTATCTGCTTTTAATTGAATTATTTTGTCGATGGTTCAACCTTCTTTCTTTTCAAAATTGTACTTTTTATACTCTGATTCTGTAATGCCTGTTTTTTTACTTGTTTCTTTTTACATGTTATTTAACAAATACCGTATTTCTTCCATAGGATATTCAGAATTAATCAAGCTTATTTGCCAATAGCATCATTTTTTCATCATTTGAAATGCTAAAATAATATACACAAAAAATAAACAGTGAATACTCAAACATGAGTTAATTAATCATTTTTGTTGAATTAGATTGTACTCTATCAGCAGATATTGCAAAGGATTATTTTTGGTAAGTTATAGTTACGAATTCCTGCCATATTCATTGCCTTTTACAACCAAACTTGTATTATGCTTGTTATTGATATCGTGTATCGATTTAATTTCTTGCAATCAACTGTTAACTGTCTGATGTAGAATAAAGAAATCAAATCAATATGATAGACCGTTAACGCTTGTAACTGTTCGGATTATCTTATATTTTGTTTAGACATCCTGTTTGATTCGCAGTAGTAGAGGATGATAATCGTTAGTAAATATAATTCAAGACATCGGCGTTCTGCTCTTGTTACATCCAACTAAAACTAAATCTACTCCCGTACAGGCCATTTTGTTTCTTGATTCATTGATTTCTAATAAAACTGTTGACATTTTTGTGTACTCAAAAAAAGTGAGTACACTCTAGATTCGGTCAGTGTGTCCGTTCGGCCGTTAACGCGATAACCTTTGAAAGCCTCATCCAATTGTCATGAAATTTTGTACACATAATGATCTCATTAATATCTCAGTCGAGCTCGAAGATGAGAAGGATCCGCCAAGAAATGGCTGAGTTATCGAAAAAATTGTTAGTACTGACCAGGCCATCACTGAGGGGGGGGGATACAGGGATTTTTTTTCTTTGAATTATTCACAACATATATAAATCGGCTCAGTTTTTGCAGTACACATAACAATTGGATACGAATCCGATGTTTTCTCATTTATTTAAATAAAATATTTAACTCACGACATATAGAATTTCATGTTGATTTGACTTCTGTATTATAATCTTTTATTTGAATATTCTCGTAGCTGTGACCTAAAAGTCTCATTCAAAGTAAAGTGTAGAACGATCTCTATTTCTATTTTCGATGCAGCACAGATTATTTGTATCTTCAGTAATAATAGGACGCTCTACAAATATTTTCATCGACTGACAATTCTATTGAAGCTGAGCCAGAGATTGATCGTTTCTTTTCTTAAAAATTTTATATGCGCACGAAAACAGACTTACGTGGTATCTCTGAAGAAAAGAAAAATAGTTTATAACAAGGACACATTTGTGAGAACTCGTTCATAATTATAGAAGAACCTTGCGGCTCTCCATCCAAAACAAACAAGCCATTGCGGACTGTTCACAGATACAACAGAGTTAATGAATATTTTTGTGTCGAGCATCTTATGTTTAGAAAAGAAAAAGAATTCTAATATTCTTCAATGTCAACAATCGAACAGCAGCAATCCTATGCTGAAAAACGAATGTAGTAGAATGCTTCAAAACATACAATTAATTAAATGCTGATGAATAATCAAAATGATATTCTCCCAATATCCGGTCGGTTAAAAGAAAACTCTGGATTCACCTCATGTCTCTCCTTCTGTTTACAGTCAGATTAATATTTTTATTGAATTATCTTGATGCTGCAATCAAGAAGTCTCCGTCAAAATATTAAATCATTTCGATATAATCCAATAAAATAAAATATAGATCATTCAACTTATTCTTCGATTATTGCAGATTCCAAGAGACTCTTCTTACTAGAATTATATGAATGAGATTATTTCATAAATTCCTGTAAACAAAAATAAACTTCTCAGAAAAGTGTTTTTTCTTAAACCCTATAATTATTATCATCATGCCATTATTGATTACATCGTATCTTTTATCATTTTTTTTTCTGTCAAACGGAATAATACCCAACCAACGAACAAATAGAACACGAAACATGTGCCACGCGTGTTTTTATTTTTGCGTCTGCACTTTGGGGTGGCACTTTATGCTACTTTAATATTAAGTCTCAAGTCTTAACTTAACACGTGATATTAATAAAAATAAATGTGGAAACTTCGGATTTCATCCGAGAGTTATGTGTACTGCAAAACGTGCATGCGACATATGAGTCATTCTAGAATGCCTGAACACGAAAATTATCATGAGAAACTAGACAATTTGATTTCTGGATGGAGTTTTTGTGAATTTTGAGACGCTTTTCAGGCGATGTTTCGTTAGAAAGCTATGACTTAGTTCAAAACTAATATCAGATNTAATTGTGAAGAGTTATCGAATAAACGGACGGACGGACGGACGGCCGGACACACTGACCGATTCTATAGTGTACTCTTTTTTTTTTGAGTACACAAAAAACGTTTGCATTAGCCACTTAACACTAATTATTAAATCACGGCTTAATTTTTAATATTAAATGTTAACGAAGCACTTAATTTTTAAAATTAAGCCTTAACGTAATATTTAATTTAAAAATTAAGTCTTGATTTAATACTTAATATTAAGTAACTAAGTGGCTAATATAAACATTTTTTTATTAATATTAAGTGTTAAGTAAAACTACTTAACTGACTCAAATTAAAATCAAACTGTCCACCTCTAGCCTGCACTATCAATTTGGTTGTTAGACAACTATCGAATATATCTACATATTTTTTATTTCAAATACTGATATAAGCATCAACATCCACACTCAAAAGCAATTGTATCGTACAGGGTGTGTACGTGACTGGATGCGAATCGGTTGTGAGTGCTGATGAAAAGAATGCTTACATTTAAATCCATCATGATCATAATTTAGTAACAAAAAAGGAATTTCCCCACAATGACCTGTGTTTTCGTTTCAATAGGACCAATGACATTGAGATCTATTGATTATAACTGTAATAACAGCAAAAATAAAAAGAATGCATAAAATAGATGTCATCATCTCGACTTTTCATAAATAGCGAATTGCTTTTTTTTACATTGTCCGTACTGATTATAATCTTCAATTACCTTTGTCCGTGGTTTAATATATATATATATATATACGTGTATCATAATCATATACATATTGACCGAAAACTCTTACAGATAAACATCAAATGGAGACAAAAGTTCAGGTGCAAGCTACAAAAATTGATATGAAAGATGAAACTACGGCGGAATGCCAATTGATAAAGCAAAAGCAACATGAAAAGGTAGATAAAAACATCGCATCGATTTTCGTAATACTGTTTATAAGACATTCGAGCTATTCAACTAAGTCGTTTTTTCTCAATAATTAAATTAAATTTCGATTTTGTCATTCTAGCTGTATAGATGGACTTTAATTATGTGGTTCTTGAATTTAATCAGTTATGTTCTGTTTTTTTCGTTTGTTTCGTTAAATTCAATTGATCTTTATAACTGGCCAAGAAAATTTCATACTACAACTCATTTGGAAAACATTCAAAGCGAATGCTTTCAGATGAAGTTGTTCATGCATGCGTATCTCGTGGTTATACTCATGAATCATTTTGTATTTGAATTATCATCAGTGAGTCTATCTGTCTCAGTTCGACGACGGCAAAAATTCAGTCAGTCAAATGGTACCGTGTATTTCTTTATCGGCTGCTATATTGTTTCTATAATATGTCCTTATGTTGCGGAATATAATGAAACAATAACGAAAAAAGGAATCTTCCAGGTAAATCTTGTTGTTGGAAATAACTCTTTATGCTTTTGTGACACTGTATTTTTTAGGACGAATATGTACCCGATAAGGCACCAAGATCATTTTTTTATTTTCAAGTAGTGGCGATTGTATGCGTATTTCTGCAGAGTGTTGTTAATATCATTATGAATTCCATCAATGCTGTACAAGTTAGGCATTACAAACTAGTTCAATTAATCAATTTGGCACGCCAACAACGAGAACAAAATAAGCAATGCGAAAAGAAAAATGTGTCAATACATTCAATCGAATCGTCTTCAAATGGCGCTATTAGTCATTTACCATAAATAGTTACTTATTCTTGTAGCTTGGTGCATAGTTCTATGTATATTACTTCTATATTAGAGTAGCTTGTTTAAATTAGTTTGATTGAATAAAATTCAATAGTGTTTAGTTCATCTACGGAAGGTTATGATTTTCGTCCAACAAATGAAACTTCTTTGAACTAGGTTGATAGCTACCATGAAGGCAAAGATGTGCCGATAAAAGTGATGTAATTAGCATATCAAAATTTCTAGACATAATATATTCTACTGGATACGATTGTACTATGCAGATCGAGACGGATTATGATTTTTTTGCTGAGTAGATTGAGAGAATTCAATCGATGGACCAATCAATAGCTCGAACTTCATTGAGAATTTTGTTTTATTCCCAAAATTAGACGACGCAGTGTACTGAAGGATCCTAATAAGAATAGATGATAGTTCCTAAAATGGAAAGATGCGCATCATTGATTGAATTATCGTCGGACGTATTTATTTTTCAAGTTGATCCAAGACATTAACTCAAATTCTCGTATATTCCAACTAAGTATTTTCATATATCAACGGCGTTGACACGATGTACTGTTATTTATTAGCATAAAATCAGCTAATAATTAGTTTTGCTTGAGAATAGCAATTCTATTCCACTAGTACATTTTTCTCGTTAAAAATCTTTTTTTCCTTCTGTCTTGGACCTCATGCGCATGCCAACACTCATTGACATATTTTTGTAGGCTAATAAATACATTTTTTATTTGATCTGAAGTTACTTATTTTATGACTTTATTCGTTATTTTATTTTTGTAGATTACAGCTACATATAAAATGATTGCAATAAAATGAAGTTCTATATCGTTACACATGCGATCGCAATAGGTCTTACCACTTTTCATTATCCAACATAAAACAAACATTCTTTTTCTCTATGAAAAAGAATTTTGTTTCATTTTTATATTGCTTAATGAAAGCTTTACGTCTAATATAAATCTAACAAGAAGTCTAACGGGATATGAGTGAAGAGAAGATTAAGTACGTTTGAAAGAATAAAAATTTAATATTATTTATTTCCTACGCAGCGAAACACTATGAAATATGATAAGAAATTACTTTAATTTTCACTTTATTAATTTTCCGATGTGTTTAAAATGTGCAACTGATGTGTTCGACTGCTTCTCCATACTCTTGTTAAGTTACGAAAGATTGCATGATTCAAATTACGACTAGCAGGGGTCAACAAATCAGACCAGTATATGTTCGAGATGCAAAATCTCTTTGCATTCGTGAAAGCGATCGAAATGTGACACTTGATAAATTTTCAGCTAATTGCAGTATCACTAGTATCTGAAGATTTTATAGATTCAAAATTGTTGACATTGTATGCGATGGATTCGATAGGTCAATTGTAATATCTCATTAGTATTTATATTGATGATGAATTAGGTTTCAATTCGAAAACTCTATATAGTTTTTCTATCGAAAATTTATGAATTACATTGTTTCGTTAATAAAAGCATTTATTTGTACATCGGCTGTACTTACGCATAGAGATGTGTGTGTGTGTGTGTGTGTATGAACGATATTGCATAATACATCCACATCCTACAGTATTATAAAACGGGTTAATTTCTGATTGCACTTTCAAATATTATTTTCCTGTCTATTATCCTACGCTTTGCTTTTGCAGTGTTTCCATCACTTAAACTGCACGTGCCCGTCTTGTTTGTTGGTATTTCTTTTTTCTCTTCTCAATTTGTTGGTTGCCGGGCATTATTGAAAGTATGGGAGCGGAAAAGAGTCGCTCATACTGTCGATACTGATTGACAAAAAATATTCCGATGAGTAACAACGCACTATTTTGATTTGAAATGTGGGCGTTATGCATAAAATTCATCTATTCATGTACGCTATTTGCGCACCCTCAGCCGTCAACGAACGGCGTTTCTTTAAAAAAAAAAATTTTTCTTCTTTTCTTCGTTCGAGTCTTTAACGTCTGTGAAGCATTGCGTCAATTCAACTGTTTTATATACGTCGCGAACAGTTTTTATTTGATCATAAAGCATTGAAAAAAGCGTATCAAGCTGTTTTATTGAAAGAACAGAAGTATGGCCACTGCACCACCAGTACAGTATGATCCGAATTACAATTATGGCAATCAACCACCCAATTACGGTGGTCCACCCAATTACGGTGGTCCACCTAATTATGGTGGTCCACCCAATTACGGTGGTCAACCCTATTATGGTGGTCCACCCAATTATGGCGGCCCACCCAATTATAACGTTAATCAACCAAACAATTATGGTAATCAGCCAAATTATTACGGAAATCAACCAAATAATGCTCCGCCTGCGCAGCAAGCCGGCAAAGATAAATCTTGTTGTGAGAAGTGTATGATTTGCTTGGCGGCTTGCGCATGTCTGGCTTGCTTGTGCGAATGTGGTAGTTGTTTATGTGATATATGCCAAAATGTAAACTGATAATTTCCCTTTTTTGTAACACATCGCAGCATCTGAAACAATAAAAAGCCATTAAGATTTACAATATATTGAGCGTTGTACAATTCGTTGCTCGCAAAGGTGTAGGTGTGGGAAAGAAATGAGGTGTGTCCAAGTACTGTCGAATATGAATTCCTCCTCAGTTCCTCGAATACTAAATTCAAAAAATGGAACATTCACGATAGCTTTTGTTCTTTTGTTTATTTTCACGTGGAGATTTGTATAAATGAATACTATGGTACAAAACGTATTCCAAAAAAAGCATTATTTTGACTTGTATGAATTGGAGAGCTATGAAGGGACTGATAAACAGTTCTCGTTTTTCTGAGGAGTTATCATGGTGTTGCTGATAATTCCTCTTCAGTTTAGGAATTCACATTTCTCAATTCTTGGACACTGCTGGTTTTATTGAAGTCCCTGCATAAGAACGCGACTTTAACATCGAAGATTATACTATTTAAAAAACGCACAGTTACTTTAATTCCAAAGGTGTTTGTGCAGTTCATTTAACAGAGTATCGAATAAGTCCATCATAATTTGTGTTTTGACCGTATCTAGCATAAACAGTAATATCTTTCGAACCAACTGTGATGCCTGTTTTCAGAATTGGATCTTCATATCCTTTTACTCCAACCCATTTAGAATCCACTTGTAAGTCAACTTCAGTTGCACCAGGAATAACACAGTGAAAGGGTATAATAGCACCTTTCTTCAGTGTACCTTCAAGTGGTTCATAAATTCGACATTTAGTCGTCTCGAATTTCGTGTATGTAACAGGAAAAATTATAGGCTTTCGAATCTTTGTTACTATAAGACTAAATTCTGCAACTGCTTCAAATTCTGTTCGAGAGTCAGAGTGGCGACGACCATAAATCATAAGCTGGTGTAAACCAGCACATTGCGGCGCAAACAAAAGCTGCCATTGGTGTTTGTCATGATCAAACTGAGCTAATGCACAATTTTCATTTTTAATACCATTGAATTCAATACTACACGACAGTTCAACATCACTGGGTGCTGATATTCGAATTTCAGCGAATGATGCATTATTCGGCCATACAGCAGTAGCACGATTTTGAGGTGCTTCTATTTTAAGTCCCAGTTCATAGAAAAGAGGCCACGTGGTTGGATAACTTACTGGTTGTTTTTGAATGTTTCTTGCTTTGACTTTAAATTTCACGGCAGCTGTATATTGACCTTTCTCTGCTTTTCTCTTAGCGAAAATTTGAGCATCGAACATTCCATCACAATTAGGAGCAAATTTACACCGCCATAGGCTTTTATGTCGATCATAGAATACCTGATGTCCACCTTCGACTTTTTCTCCATCTGAATTAGTCAATGATCCATGTAGTTCTACATCATCCGGTGTTCGAATCAAAACTTCTGCATCCGTTTGTCCATTATGTACTTTCATCAAATGTGTATCTTTTGGTGAGACTACTTCCATATTCAAGTCAAAAAAATTCTTCCATATTTTAGGAAAGCTAATGGGATATTTTGGCATTTCACTAACGTCGAGAGTTAAATGAATTACGTCGTGATATTTACCCTCTTCATCTTTCTTTTTTGCATAAATTGTAATTTTATGTTTCCCTATAGTATTTGGAGCAAAGTAACAACGATGCATTTGTTTCTTAGTATCAAACTCGACACGATCACCACCTTCAATTTCTTTATTGTTTAACTTCAAATCTACAATTAGATCAACATCAGATGGTCCCTGTATGAGGACTAACGCATATGCTTTCCCCGGCGCAAAATGAACATGATCTTGATTTCGTGGACTAATTAAATCTAAATTCAATTCAAAGTAATGGGGCTGAAGTTGTGGCATTTGTAAATATTGTTTCATTTTGATTGGTTTTTGTAATAGTTGCCATTTCTCAATTTCAGGTAAATGATGATATATCATCTCAGTTGGATTAGGTAGAAAATAATACGAGTTCAATTTACGTTGGAAGTTCTTTTCTTCTGTCAGATGTCCAGCACCCCATGTGGATTCAATCAAGTACCAATGATGGTCGATTTCTACAGCATTCCATGCATGGTCTGTTTCGGTAGGTGCACCTTCGCGTTCATCGAATCCATAACCTTTCGAGTAGCCACTCACTTTCTCACATGGAATATTCAGTGCATCGCAGAGATATTTATAAATATTGCCGTAACCAGCACAAACGCCTTTTCTAGTTCGAAATACACCTTCAGCTGTTTGATCTGCATAATTTTTACTGAAGTACGAGACTGTATCATATTCAATGTTATATGTGATCCAATAGAAAATGATCCAATGACAATCTACTATTGATTTATTTTCTGATAAAGATTTAATAGCATTAACTAATTGTTGGAGGGAGTTGGGACGCCATGATTGAATAGTCGAACGGTACGAATGATTATCAATGGCTTTCTGACGTTGTCGTATAAACGATGTATTAAATGCATATGGATCAGCCGCTTCAATATCATTCACTAATTGTTGATGATGATCAGTGTTTTGAGCGTCTTCACCATTATTTGCAGTTGATCCTGTTCTCTTCGATCTTTTACTTTCAGAATCAGTTGAATCCTTTTTTGTTTTCCGATTCGTTTGATTAGGTTCGAGAATTTTAACAGAAATTGGTTTTGGGACTGGCCTAACGCGACTACCTCCACAACCCATTCTTTTTTCTAAGATGATAAAATTAATGTTTCGTGCTTACATATAATATATTTTATTTGAAAGAGGAGAATCAACACTCATAAAAATATTTATATCAGTTTGTTGACCGTTAATCTTTGATACCCTTATCAGCAATTTATTTAACTGCAGAATCAATAAAATACTTTACTTTATAATGTATTCAGACATTTTCGGCTGCACTTTCTTTCATGTGGATTAAGAAGTGAATGGTTTACATCTAGAATTTGAAGTATTCGTTCTTATCGAAGAACATTTTGATGACTTTTATATGTGCGATGGCAGTAAAGATATCTATTGTAAATAGATATCAATGGGATTGACTAGAAAATGTTCACTATACGCGAAATTCCGTTGTCAGGCGAATTTAATATCAGGAAAAAATTCGCGATCAATTGACTCTCTCTGTGTAAATCCAAATGCTGCGTGAAAGAGACTTCTATGAGAGAGAAAACATACATTTCTTTTTGTTGCTTAACTTTGACCTAAATAAAAGCGAATACAGTGTACCTTAACGAACGTTGATTCGAATTCGGATTAATCCCATCAATTAACATTTATATATATATGCAAAGCATGTTGTTCACCAAGAAAATGAGCAACAATATTGAGATGTTCATTTACTGCGCCTAATAAATGATGAAGTTGGATTTAATATCAGAGAAAAGTTATCTTATTCCAGCCACACTCTCAAGATATTATCACACGCTCGTCGAGAAGAAAAAAGATAAATAACGACAATACTCAATGGTGATGTAGTATTTGAAAAGTAATAGTTTCGTGAGTGAGTGAGAAAGACGAAATAGAAGATTTTTTACAAATATACAGAGCGATAGAGAAATTCGAACACTGTGAGAATAAATCGTTATTCGCATCTAAAAATCTATCTTCAATATTACTTGATAAGCATTTATGACACCGATTTTATTAGCTATTTTCAAGATTAAACAGGTATATACCGATGTATGCAGTTAAGATCATTTCTGTTTATAAGAACTGTTGATCTGACAACGATACTAAAAAAATTCGAACGACAAACATGATGATGTTCAACAATACATGAAAAATGCTATTGATCAATGAATAAAGAGCCAAGAAAGGAATACTGATGATTCCAAGAAACCATAAAATCACATAATGAGCATTGATCCACAAGAATGTATTTTTCAAATAGCCACGTTCTAACTCGTGCGTATCAAAAAGCCCAGAATACGTATACGGAGCAGTACTGCTCATGGCTGATTGCTTCCATTCGCAAAGTAACATACCGGCATGATAATATTTCAATGTCTCACTATTCCAAGTAACAGCAAGAAGTATAATGTCTAGCACTATCATTGAACTGTAAAACATGATCAATCTGGAAAGCCGATTCACTTGGTACGGATTTAAAGTAATGCATATTAACAGAAAAAGAAGGATAAGTGCGTAAATGCATCTAAACCAAATTGATATATCAAGTGGGGACATCGTAATAAGCCTCAAGTGACTGTAAAAGACTTGACAAACGATTGCATTACAGAATTTATTCAGCATGAAACAATTGAATAGCTTGTCAGCGTAATTTTGAAGAGCTTGTAACTTCCGTTTTAGTCGTACTAAAAGATAGTCTCGTCGTTGATACCAATATGAAAGCCAACTGGACTGTGGAGGCTACATAAAGAAAATGATCATGGTGATTAATAGATTTTCATTTTTGAAATCTACCCACTTGTTCGTCAATCCACACGTAAATGTATGGCTCAGAGAAGCGACAAGTAAATTTACCCACTCGTAGCCGTCTTGCTCCATATATTGCCCATTCTGGTTTTACTGACCAGTCTTTTCGCTGAATTTCAGATACCCCAGTGAACATAAATGATCCATTTGATAAATGTTTAAATCCGTCAATCATACGAACAAAAATCGATGAGCAATGCGACGTCGCGTGTAAATGTTCAACAGAAGGAAAACATCGGCCAAGTTCTTCAATGCGATCTATTACGTTTAATGGCCACTGTGCGTCGATATGAAGTGTTTTAATTTGCTTGAAATATATGCTTTGTTTACATTCCAGTAATTCGGATGAATTGTTCATAACGGATAGTGTATGAAGGGAAGGCATTTGTTCTACACAATAGGAAATCATTGTCCAGCTAGTAATCCAGTAGGAAAGAATTAGGTGCGTTATTTCATTTAGAGGAATGATACTTGAGATCGTTTTAAAATGGCAAACATCATTTAGCTTCAATGTTCGAACATTGGGGAAGTAGTGATTTATATGAGCAGTTGATGCTGATGATTCAAGCTCTGTAATTCGATCAAAACAAATCTGGTCATTAGTTGCTGTTGAAATGACGTGACGGCGGAAACCCATGGAGACCGAAGTTTTACCAAAGTATGGTATTGAAAAAAAGCGTTTACGCTTGTAAGCTACAAACCAACGCTTTTCTGTGAGCCAATAGCACGTACGAAATGAATCAAGAGTTTGTTCCACATTGTCGAGATGTACAATGAAGTAGAAGTTTAGCGTAACAAGATCGTGACTAGCACTTTCCCATCGAAATCCATCAACTAGATCAGTGGCGCATTCAGTGTGAAGCTCCAGATGTTTGAGAAGAGGCAGAGTTGATAGCATTTGCTCCATTTCATCCATAGTTACTAGATAGCCTACAAAGAAGATCTATGTTCGCATGAAACTTATCTTCTAAATCGAATGCTCTAGAAATATCTGATGGTTATCGACTTTCTATTAGACTGTCGAAGAACTCAATTTTTCATACAAAAAAGCACTCAACATAGGTTCATAAAAGGGAAATTTTCAAAATAAAAAATTAGACTCTTTTTATTAACGAAAATATTACAATTGGTTTAGATCCCTGAATAAATTCTATAAGTTGTATTTGTCTAATCAGTTAAATATTCACTTTCTATTTTCAGAACGAGACGAGTGAGCTGAGGCAATTGAAATGCGAAGACTATTTGGTAGCCAACATTTATCAGGTGAACCTCGAGTGATTGAAGTTTTGATACATTTAGACAAATGTCTCCAAACTTGTGAGTTGATGATTGTACTATTGGATGCAGAAAAATGCCAAACAATGAATACGTATCGACTTGTTGGCTATCACTTATTCTCAATCGAGTCACTTGAGACATCGCTTGAGCATAAACCATCTTATGAATATCACAGTCGTCCAGCGAAATTTGGCATTTTGAATTAAGATTTTTGATGAAACTTACAAGTTTTTTCATTCCTTGTTTGTTTACCTTGATTAGTGTAAATAATCGCAGTTTCGAGAATTCTTCAGCTCGAAAATGTGCCATAAAGATTTTACATTGTTTCGGAGTATCATCAAGCCCAGAAAGTGTCAGCGAAATTATATGATCTGGTTGAATTGTACGGCAAACAAGATCAAATCGAGTTTTCAGGATAGACCTGAAATTAACTTGATACGATGCATATGAAAGTAACGCAGCATCGATAGAGGCGCTGACATTACTAAATGTAAACAGAATCTCATGTGCCCAAAAATAAGTAAAAATATTGTATAATAATTCAACGGGTAAAATGTCCAACAAAGAATGATTCATGGAAATCTTCTAAAACAAGCAATAGGAAGCATAAGTGGAAGGGTGCAAAACAATGTCTCCTACTATTATGTTCTGTATGTTTTTGAGTATGAGTATGTTTGAGAGAAAAATGTGAGACGAATTTCACCTGTATAGATGTCTGCATCAGTGAAACATTTTTTCTTGTTTCAAATACATAATATTTCTTTTATTTCCTGTCGATGGAAGTAGAAACAAAAGAGTGTTTTCACCAAGACGTCGACATCTGTTAGCAGAGTCACTCTTAATGACTCATTATCAGCACTAAATCCAACGGGGCACATAACTGAGTAGAGTTTATTAAAACATAGGGTGTGTCTCCACTGTTTGAATCAAAGATGAATATAATGATTTTGCTCAACTACGCATAGCGACACCAATCAGATTATTCAAAAACGTATTGCACAAGAGTCATAATAGTTTGTTTACTTTCAGTGCTAACAATTCATTTCATCACTATTCCTTTATATATTGATGAACTTCAGAGATTTTGTGAAAGTTTTATAACTGTGGATACTGGTAGCCAGTATTCAGTTCCCGCCGACGACTCTCCCGGGAAGTCCCTGTCGTTAGTCCGCGGGGACTTTTTATTTGGGAAACTCTCCAAGGATTTGCCGGAGGGAGAATTGATGAGATATCTAAATAAAATAAAAATTCTTTATTTTTTAAAATTAAGGAAAATTTATTAGTAATTAGATATTTCATCCATGTCCACAAACAACCCCCGGAGAGCGGATTAGGGATTACACTTGTTTTAGGCAAACGATTCAAAACTTAACTATGTTAATTTATCTAAAATATACATCTTAATTTTTAATCCATGACAGCACACAGACGGTATATGCTGATACTGAGCAACGTTTGGAAAATTAAATGCATTATTTTCCACGAACTCTCAAGGACGTGAAATGTGAAGACATTGATTTTGGTTTCAGGATAAATATCTATTTAATGTAAAAATATACGATGCTAGTAAAAATTAATGACAAACATATTACATAGAAATATTTCGTACGGGAATTTTTTCCACCGCGAAGTGTAGAGATTTCCATTAAGAAGGAAATATTTTATTATTTCTATCAATTTCGATCGATTCACACGACGTGGACTCTTTTCGTCGAAAAACCACATCATTCGGCAAACGAAAATATTTATTTTGAAAACATTTTTTTGCTAGTGAACCTTTGAAACAATCTTCGCGGAGACTATTTCAAATGTCCGTTTAATTGTTCGACATGCTTAGACTTTTACGAATCGATCGAAGCTGGTATTCTCGCTTGCCAGACGTCACAATACGCTACAAGTCGATTATATCTGCATCGAAAAGAATTAATCCAATTTAGCATAGTTAATGAACAAATTATCATAAGAAAATTTGCCCGCTAATAAAATCAATTTATTCTAATTTATTTAATACTGGGGACATCGGCTCATACACTTCAGCTCTGGTTACGTGATAAAATCAGGCATTGAAATACACCTATATGATGCATCTTTTTTTTTTAATAAAATTGAAATATTTACTCCAATGATGTCGCTCTGCTAAAATGATATTTAAACGTATATTCTTTGGATCACCATGAAAATTTCGTATTTTGACACCGATAATAACTGATACAGATAAATGCTAAAATTCCCAAAGAATAAAATAAGAACGAATGCATGTAATTTATATTAGAGACATGTTGTAAGTAACACGAGGATGGACTAGTATTTGCAAACATCAATTGTTATCACAAACGAAGAGAAATATGTAGGGAATAATAATGTTCTTTTAACATTTCACACGTATTGTCTCTTATAAATAGATGATACTTTACATAATCGTAGTCGTTATTCTTTCTAAAATATCATTATGCTTTCAAACTATAGTTACGGGGGGGGGGGGGGGGGGGGGGGGGG